AAGGTAGCTTTGGTTTTTTGGTTAATGCTGATAACAAGGCTTCCCCGATTGAAATACAGTATTGGAAATTGTCTTCGTCAAATAAGAAAAGGCAAAAAATGGTGTGTTGAGATACCCTACCCAGTTATTATTTCTAAGTCTATGCTCATTTTGTAAAGGTTTAACAAAATTATTCTTAAGTAAAGGCATCCCATTGACAGAACTTGGACCTAAATTTGTTTGTGATCAACATTAAAAAACCACTATTAGCCTAGTGTAAGTATGTGGTGTTAATCCTCCTAAAGGTGCGATTGATTTACATATTCTACCAAAAAAGGGCCTAGTCAACGTCTAATTACCAACTATTTTGCGGCTAGTTAGGGTTCCATTACCCAGTTATCGAAACTAATCACGACATAAATATTTTTGGTTCGTTTAAATACCTGTACGAACCTACTTCATCTCTATTCCCAAATTGTTTTCTAAGAGTAACCGTTGAGGTTATTCCACTTCATACAAAATATTGATTAAACACTACAATAAATCTCAAATATAAATGTTAGTAAATTAAAAAAAATTGGAATAAATCTTTTACATATGTTTTGAAATAAAAACAAAGAAGATCTTCTTTCAATCTTGAATCGTTTCTTAAATCTTGAAAACAATTTATTTCAACTTTGACATAACTAAAAAGTCTTGATTATTAAAGGTAACGTTATCCCTTTATATAGTTGGTTTTATATAGTATACATTACATTGCAGAATTGACTGGCAAATGAGTAATCCAAATGTAAGCTTACTTGCTAATGATAAAATCACGATCAGCTGGATTGAAGTAAACAAAAATCAGCAGTAAATGCCTTCTAATGCTATTCTTATGGAGAACATTGTACGTTATATCTAATTTTGTGTTAAGATTTTGGGAATTTCACTATTTTTCCCGCCGTCACGGGATAAAGACCTTTAATTTGAGCCCTCTCACGTCGTTATACGACTTCCCAGTCGCCCACAATTTTGACGCAAAAAATCGGCTTACGTAATTAATATATAGATTTCCATGAAACTGATAATTTACCCAGCACATTAAGGCCTTTATTCCAAGTATCTCAGTTCGTAAACCATACATACAATGTGACGATAAAATATCAACAAAATAGCATGTAGTTTTATGTAATCCTCACGACATTTTATTTGGTCCATTGACTTTAAATCCAATAATTGTAAAAATTATTGGAGCTTTGAAAAAAACTTCATATAAAATCCTTACACTAATAAAAGACGACGTCATGAGCGCGGGAAATGAGCTACAGCGGCTAGGGCATAGCCACATGAATACAGAACGGAATGAAGGAACTAGAACGGAGAACTGGCAACAGCGCACGCGAGAAGTAGGGGGGGCGCACACACCGCTCAAGCACTACAACGCATTAGTGGCATCCTGTCCACACACTGTTGATATATACCGATTTGTGGCATGGTGCCACAATTTAAAAACTGGAATGTTAGATGTTAAAATGGAGTGTTCATTAAAAATATCGATGCAGACATGTTTCTACCACCTTCCTTCATCCACTGGTGGCCGCAGGTTGAAAGATGCCACAATTAGGTGTTTGCGAGTATTCGGTAAAACCCCGTATGTGTGTGTATGTGTGTGTGTCCGTGAACGCGATAACTTGAGTAATTTCTGTGCGATTTTGATGAAATTAGGTTTAAAGGTGTAAGACGGGATAAACTTGAATGAGTTCACGAACCAGCATGATCTGACCATGGGAACGGGGTTTAACGGGGGGTTTTATGGGGTAAAAATTGGTTTTTCTCATTTTTGACCCCCAAAACACAAAATTTCCCAATTTCTCTCTATATCTTTTTAAAAAGCTTAGATAATTAAGTATACGAAAGTGTTTTTTACGGTTGTTAGTAGCGGATTTTTTTCAAAAAATTGAATATTTAAAATTCCCACGTTCTTTTGTGGAGAATATTGTAAAATCTTATAGTTTGCTTGTTTATGGATATATTTTTATCAAAGTTGGCAACTTTATTTATTTTATACTATGCTATTAATATTTTACTAGAAAACTCACTTTATTAGTTCCCTTGTTACAGCAAACCTAGGTACTCGTTAAACCTAATGTTAAATAGATTTAATTGAAAATCATTTCAGACAAATGGAAATTCCCTTAGTCGGCAGGTTTGCTGCGGCGGGGGTAATTGTTCTTAGCTGGATCAAATTATATGTTTTTATAAATGCAAAAAAATAAAATATGCTGCACCCTGTTGGTAACCTTATAACTTTTGATATCATCATAGACAAATCATAGAACCAACTTGTGTAGTTGAAACAGCTGTCAAAATTTTTTTTGTTTATAACAATTTTACTAACCGTAGATTTTCCCTACGATGCACACGAGCTGAGAAAAAAGGTTTTAAAGAAACATGCTTGCCTATTAATATATAGATAGATAAGTCACTAAAATACGACTTGAACTAACTGTAGAATCTTTTTAATCTATAATATGTTTTCCTTTATCACAGACATTTCCCTGTTCTCTTATATTCTTACCCTTCGTTTACGGAAAACCCCGGCACTTAAAAAATATGCAATTTAATTAAGCCTACTCTATTTTCATCACTTATATCGATAACATTCCAGCCGGGACGGGTGGCGTCGTCCTGTAATCCACCTACAAGGAGGTCACGAAATATGGATATTTTATAGACATGCACTGTGGATGCGATACTCCCTGTTGTGGTAGTGCGTTCAAACAGCCGTGGCACCTGAAGGATTAGGAGACTCCAAGGGTTTCCATGGGGTCTCCTAATCCTTCAGGTGCCACGGCTGTTTGAACGCACTGTTTGAACGTCCGCACGAGTGAGTACTACGACTATCCGCAGTGCAATCCTGATAATTAGACCAATTCGTTTATACCAAGGAAAAATTTGGTTCGGATTCCACTATAAACTGTAGGTCCCTAAGTTGCCTTTAACTGTATGGGCTATTAATTAACAGCTGTGTCCCTGTGTCTAAGGAATGTCGGCCTTAGTCACTAACAAGACTACAAGATCGCGCCACTCATCCTACACTCATCTCCATTCATACTTGGCTTAAAAAAACTATTTTGTATGGTCGCCATTTAATAAGAAAGTATAAAGTATGTTTTTCAAAACCACAAATAGTGCTGTGCTCGGTCGCAGGTACACTGCTTAAGCTGGTTTTGCTTAGTTCGTTGGTTTGCTAAGTAGTCGCTAATTTTCCACCACCTACGCGGGAACCCCTCCCCGCCTCACTACCAATACGCTGACAAACCTCCCCCCTTACACTGACACACCCCCCCCCCCCCCAAACTGTATAAACTTCTCGTTACTGTGCAAATTCAAATTACCATCGTCTCTCGTCCCGTAAGTAACAAGGTTTAATTTCATTTGTTGGCCCCAGTTTGCTTTTTATGCGCACCAGTAATTCTTTTTGTTTTTTTGGGCCGACCAATATTGATTTCGCTGGACTTTTGATCTTTGAACCAAACAAAACTGAAAAATAACATACTAGGCCTATTGAATATTTGTGGCATGTAAAATTATTTCAAAGGAAATCAGAGATAAAATAAAATGTTGACAGCCTTCATTGTGTGATGGCTCACTCACCTATGTTTAATCTGAATGAAAATTGGCCAAAGCCGATTGATCCAAATAAATGACGCCTTCTCTGTATAAAAAAATCAATGATAAAAAACTGAAGATACACCACACAACATAAAATGTTTTCCAACAATGCAACGTAAGACAAACTGTTTTGTACTACATTGACATTTTCACAATGGTAGGCGGACACGCATGTAAATTATATAAGCATTACTCGTCAGAGGGCGACAGTGTACTCCCCCCCCCCCCCCAACCACTAGGTTAGCCCAAACCCTAGTTAACGTGTCGTACCACTTTTGAATTAATTGCGAATCATACTCGGCGATGCACTATTTTTGGCAACTGCCTTCGTGATTGTGTCGGCAATGTGAAACTGTTTCAATTGTTTATAATTGTTGGTTACATTTCAGTGTTTTAATTGTAGGCTAATGTGTTTTGGGTAATTGGTCTACCTACTTTTGGTGTATGGAGAACTGGCCATACATTAATATTAGCTCTGAATTAAAAAAGGGTGATTAAAATGATACAAAATTTTCAATAAATTGTTTCATAAAAACACTGAGAAACCTCTTGTACTCGATTCGAATAGTGCACTCAAAATATCTCCTAGGTATTGTGGAGTAAATTGGATTTTCTATGACCAACCCCGCAATTATACTAACGATATATGACTTTACAACTGTTCTAACTTTAGCACGATCAATTTTAAATTGAGATGCGACTCCGCGACTATCTCTAGGTTTGAGAAATATAATTACACCGTTCATGGTGGGTAGAATGTTTATTTATATACTGTAGGGATAGTTTTAAAACAATAGTAAAGATATTAATATGAATATTTTAGTTGTATACACTCTGGACTAGGTCTAAATTTAAATTAAACATGGAAATATAGTATTGTGCACTAATATTCACTTTTTACTAAGTTAAAAGCTAACGGTGCTGGTATTTTTTGTGCGTGATAGGTAATGTCTCAAAAACGTGACTTTAAGCACGTAAATATTATAGTATTTTACACTAGGTACGGTTGACAGCTATGGAACTACTTTATTATTCCTGTTACCCTTAAAGTTCAATTTAGACGCTGTGCCTGACACCATAAGTTGATTTTTCAATGGATATAAAGTTCAATCTATATACAATTTAATCGCTTTATCAAATCGTTAGAATTTTCGGTAAAACTATATCTACTCAACTGTTGACTAATCATACACAACCCACTTTTTCATGACAATGTTTGAATTTCATTCTAAAGGTAATGTACACACAAAATACTTTACTCCATTATTCCTTTTCATTTGTAAATGAAAAACCCCCCGGATGACTCCCGAATTCAAAATGGTTCCTCCGGGCTTCATACAACCTCCACCCTCCAAGGTACTCACCTGTGCTGGTGATGGTACACCCGGGCTACATACACATGACACTGTCAGGTCCACTCGCGAAACACACCGATATGTGAGGAGCACCACAGAGTTGCTGTCAGAAGACTGCTCCTGCCGCCACCACCCCTACGATCGATATATCGCAACGCATCGCTGTGACTATCGATCGATAGTCGAACAATCGAAAATGTGTTGTAACTTTGAATTTTTTCCAGTTAGGCCGTTAAAACTTTAACGTCTGAGAATAGGTTTGAGATGATCAAAACTAGAAACAGGAACATCTAAATTTATTATTATCTGATTTTAAACATAAGTTAAAAAACATTTTCAAAACATGTGTCTCATTAAGGGACTATATTACTAAAGTATTTTTTCTGAAAACAATCCTTGAAGAGCGAGCTGGTCCAATGGTAAAACGCAACTGATTAGGACGAACTGTCAGAGCTAAAATTTAACTTATAATAATTTGACCTATTAAAAAATCAAAACACCGCAGGAACATTTTATTGGCCCTAAGAAGAAATGGACGCAACTTGCTTTTACAGTTTTATAATTTCCATAATGTTAACATTGGGATGAGTCAATTTCAGTTGCATAGTAAAACAGCTGATCGTAATAAACATGTTTTTCCTACCACTGCATGGAAATTATTACATTCCCATACCTGTAAACAGTACGCAAAATAGTTCATTGCCACTGGAATGGATCATTCCCGCTCACTAATCAGCTGATTTCATAATTGCCGTTTCTACTACACTAACCAAAGCCGTGGATACTACGGTTACGGTACGTAGGGTAAGTTAATCTGTTTGTTATTTTAAGTTAAATGTGGTAGTAAAGCACAAACAGTCATTGCGCTCTAACACACAAATAGCTATTATCAGCAGAAAAGATTGTCACTCATAAATCTAGTTCGATTGAATCACAATTGTTTTATTTTAATTTTAGACGTAAAGATATATTTTGTTTGACATGACTAATGCAAGTTTGTATTTGTTACTTTGGTTGAATAAACGAGTTATTGAGTTAAAACGTTAGCAATAGAGAAACAGTTTCATAGTTATCAAGAATTATGAGATATCAATAGCTTCAATCTTAGCAGTTTCTAATAAATTGCCTTAGAACAGTTGATTTCAAAATAGCAATGTTATGAATGACTGGCTATTTAGAGAGAACGCAACTGAAAATCGCCAATAAAAGTTGAACGATATTTTATTCAAAGTATGTTGCCACAAAAGATCCAAAAATAATTTTAAATGCATCCTTAGATAAAATTTTGGAAATTGCAGGATCTTACTTTTTAAGAGTTAATTTTGAACAAAATAAAAAGAACGGTATTTTTATTTTTAATTCTAATATATCAGAATATAAAATGGTGCCCGTATTACCACATAACAGAGTCAGAGGGTGCGGCTAGTTGAATTATTATTTCGCGGCCCCTTTCTCCTAAAGTCTCGAGTTCAAATCCTGACAATTACCATGGCTTTTATCCATGAGATAGGCTTCGATCCGGTCGTTCGGACACCCACCTAATTAAAATACCCCCGCCGCAGCAAACCTGCCGACTAAGCGAATTTCCAGTTGCCTGAATTGATTTTCAATTAAATGTCTTTAATTAACATGAATTTTTATGAGTACATAGGCTTGCTGCTACAGGGAGGGTAAAAAAGTGTTTTTTAGTGAAATATTAATAACTTAGCATAAAATGAATAAATTTACCAAGTTTGATCAAAATATATCCATAAACAAGCAGACTACAACATTTTACAATATTCCCCGCAAGAATAACATGGGAATTTTAAAATAACAATTATTTGAATTTTCTCCGTAACTAATAATAGTACAAAAACACTTTGATATACTAAATTATTTGTTTTTTTAAGCTCTTTAAGAAGGTCTGAAGAGAAATTGGGAAATTTTGCGTTTAGAGGGTCAAAAATTAGAAAAACCAATTTTTACCCCATAAAACCCCCCGTAAAACCCCGTTCCCATGGTCCGATCATGCTGGTTCGCGAACTCATTCAAGTTTATCCCGCCTTACACCTTCAAACCAAATTTTATCAAAATCGGATAAAAATTACTCAAGTTATCGTGTTCACGGACACATATATATATATATATATATATATATATATATATATAAATAAATTTGAACGAATGGTGTTTTTGGCCTCTGGGGACATCAAAATGAAAAATTAAATCGGTCCCGGGCCTAGGTCTTACCATGCCACCTACGGTAATAGCTACTTCCCTATAGGGAAATTCGCTAAAACAAAAAGGGATAGGTCCCTCAGGCAAAAAGAAACTTCCGCCACTAAAAGCCAAATGATGATAAACTTTCGAATCAAACAATCGTTTTGTATCCGATGCGACCATCGATGATTTTCATCGCACCCCCCCCCCCTTGTCAAAGGCATAGCCTGCGTTCAACAATCTGCCTATTGAACTCTCGTACACTCTACTCCCCCCACCCCCCTTCACTACTCTTCCACCCCTAACTTGCCTAGACCTTTTATTGCCCCGTATTCATACTCACTCTCCCTTAAACCGTCACGGATAATTGTTGTCTTTGTGTTTTCCTGTATTTTCTCGCGTGATTTTATGCCTGGAATGGGGGATTTCCGACCTCAGATTTTAATCTTTTAAACAACATTACCGAAAAAGAAGCTAATGTGTTCTGAACCCCAAGATAAATGTGTTCTGAAAGCCGCACTTTAATTTGTCATTTGCCTTTTCCTTGTCATCTTAGTTCTTTCTAGAGTAGGCAGACATTTTCTGACTCCTACAGTGTTTTATTTTAAGTATTTTTGCTGCTTTGTTCTTGTTAGTTTTATCATCGGAAGTTAAATATCATATCGTCTGCTCGTACAGTAGCCTTATTTAATGAGAACGTAATTTAATGTTATTCTTTTGGTACCGGTACATTAATAGATGATGAGAGCAAATGCTTTGGTTATAGATTATTATACCCTTTTGGTTCGGAATGGTTTTACAGTTAATGTAAAAGAATAAATGCAGTATTTGACTGCAGAACATTGTTTTAGTTATAAATTGATTTTTTTGTTTAATTTTGTCATAACAGATGCAATATCTAGAAGCAGAGATGGTTCTTTTCGGCATTTTGTGTTGAAGCATTTTAAATACCCAGAAGCATAGATACTAGAGGAATTGGTATACCCAACTTATTTTAATGGTTTAAAAATGTCCCACGAAGTGGAGTAAATTATGTTCCGTTCATTAGAGAGCAGAAGCAATAAAGTATCAAGGCACTACAATGAAATTCAGATACACAGATGTACTGCGGTTGTTGTATGATGGCGCCTGCTGGGTCGCTTGTTTGGGGTCTTGAAAATTAGAACATATTTAATAGATTTATCATTCTTGCTACGGCATCACTTAAAAACAGGCATCCACGTAAAGAGTGTACCTCTCCATTAAATGACATATTTTACTATTTATTTATTGTTATTTAAATAAACTAAGTAGGCTTAATATTTTTAATATTCAATACTATTAATATGAATTCCAAACTAAATTTGATGGTACATTTGTTAACTATTTCTTGTCCTCTGGCATTACAACCACATGGTAAAGCATAATTTTTAAAACCCTAAAATAGTAAAGAACCATTTAACTGATCGGCACTCTCAAAAGTAACCTACACAAAACACATAAAAACAGGCTCCATACTCTAAAATAGATTAAATGTTTGAAGGGGCTGGTTTGGTTTAACTTAAAGATTTTTGGCTCCCATTAAAAATTTCACTAGGGTAGCAAATAAACGGTATCAGCATTCTGACACATACTTTCTCCCATAAGTTTGTCAACAACCTTTATCATGTGTAAGCGTAAGCGGTGAGAGTAAATATACGGAAATGGGATTTGTACAATTTTGTTAAGAATTTAAAGGACTAAAGCCATTTTTGAGAAAATCTGATTTTTCCGGTTTTTTTATGGGCTTTTATGGGAAAATTCTCATTAAAAATCAAATTTCTAAAAAATGAAAAAAACTCCTGGAGATACCATGGATTAAAACCTACATACCAAATTTAATCGAAATCGGACCACAGGTGTAGTCCCTAGCTCTGTACACATCCAGACACACAGACACACTCAGACATCACTAAAACCACTTTTTTGGGTCCAGGAGACCCAAAACGAATATATCCACTCAAAACTCAAACTCGAAAATTTAGCCAAAAACAATACTTTCTCCATATACTATAGTAAAGGGGGAGAAAGTAAAAAAGACAAATATATTGGATAAGAAGTGTACCTATTCTTCTAAAAGGTGTTGCCATCTCACAATAAAATAAACGGTATCAGCATTCTGACACATACTTTCTCCCACAAGTTTGTCAACGACCTTTATCATGTGTAAGCGGTGAGAGTAAATATACGGAAATGGGATTTGTACAAATTTGTTCAGAATTTAAAGGACTATAACATACTAAATTTTTATCAAAATTGTTCTGGCCATTTTTGGGAAAATCTGATTTTTCCGTTATTTTATGGGGTTTTTATGGGAAAATAACATAGTTTACAATAACGTTTAAACCGTAATTTTTACAGAAATGGGATTTGTACCATTTTGTTCCAAATATAAAGGACTATAACATACTAAATTTTTATCAAAATCGTTCGGGCCATTTTTGGGAAAGAGTGAAAATTTTAAAACGTACGTTTTCAGGAAAAGTACTTTGCATTTTTTGCCCCCTTTTTCAAAACTTTTATTATTATTTTTATTTCATTAACATTTGAAGTTTCATAAATTGTCCATGGTAACGCAATATCTTTGGTAGTTTTTTTTTTAAGAGCATCTTTAGTGGAAAAACACAAAATCTTGTCACGACCATAACAGACGTTTAAATGAATATTAAAAGTAGTTAATATTATTTTTATAACTATGTTTTGCTATAAATTAATTTACTTTTATGACCATTATACAATAAAAAGGTCACTAAGCTTTTGGTATATTTGGTCTTTCCAGAAAAAAATAAAAAAACTCAAAAAATTGAAAAAAGCCAAGAAAATCTTTTTAAGTTTGTATAACTCCGAAAAAACTTACCTGAGACCCAAAAAATCATTATGTTTGTATAGA